GGGGGGGTCATCCAAGATCATGCAAAAACCAATTTTTTAAAGCTGCTGCTGTGGAAAGGGAGTATCACATAGCTGCCCGAAAATCAAGATATGCAGTTTTCTGTAGGTGAAAATATGACTTGCATATTCTATAACCCGTGAATGTTACGATCAAAATATCGCGATACATCCTAGCGTGATTCTGGCGGCTACATTACTTCCAACCATTCCTAGGTAAACAGGATGTCAGGCTCACCCATGCTCCCACGATCACCCATAAGTCCAGGGGGTCCAGGTTCTCCGACATAAGAGGACTGACCAGGTAATCCAGGTGGTCCCATTGGACCCTAAACTCTCATGCCTAACTTGTACAAAGACTTCCGCTGAGACTCATGGCACAAACTTGTTCTCCTGGATAACCCATCACCCCCTCTGGGCCAGGTGGCCCCGTAGGACAACGGATACAGCCTGGAATTTCCTGTCGGTACGAGCCCAAAGCCACTCCATTTGCTCCGCGTTGACCAGGTAGTCCAGCGTAGCCAGGCTCTGAAATTCACTAGTATCTTTCACCTTTCTTTTAATTTCTGCCTTACGTGATAGACATTCAATTGTGTCTTACAGCCTCAAGAGACGACGTTGATGCGAGAGGGATCAAAAAGTTGTTTAATTAGCCTCAGCATAGCCAGGCTCGTTTGGATATTCTAATTCTCAGCGCCCGCCCATCCACTCACAGTTGAGATGATAACCAATCAGAGGCGTGCCGTTTTGAAGACAGTTCGAGCTTGAAAACATGGCTGATGGAGCCAATGCCACGGTATGGTGGTGATTATCAATGCCCGCTTAGAGCACTGGATAAGTGGCATAACAACGTTGCTCCTTGCGCACTTTTCTTTCCATGATCAAAAAACGACTATTGATATACTTGCAAGCTCCAAAGTCAACAGCGCGTGTCTGGTTGAAAAAATGAAGGAAAACACCAAGTCGGAGTTGTCTTTGATGAATGCCTTCACTACTTGTCACTACATCCTAATGATTGGTCTAAATGACGATAATGATCATGAATGAAACGAATAGCATTGGCCAGAGATACGCTTCCCTCTAACGGTCATAGATTCATTCGGTGCTGTACACCACCTGGACACAAGGTTAACGGATATCACGAAAATCCGTTTGAACATACCAACCGTTGAAGCAACAATCTAATATACACAATTACTTTGCCACATCACCATGTTTTTACAGTACTGTAAGGAAAAAAAAAGATCGATCAGAGAGGGAGAGATATCAAGTTAACACATTGACGACCGCTTGACACACATGGTGTGT